AACTCGCGACGGACTACATAAATGCTGTGCTTCGCACCGCATTAAACAGTTTAAAGAATATTATGTTCGAAATTAGAGAGATTCTTACTCTTGCGATTGATTATCCTGCAAAACAACTTTAGTCTAAGAGAGATTTTTCAGTTTACGTATTTTATATTAGTTGAATGAGGCTAGAGAGCATATGTGAGTTCCACATTTCAGCCTCAAAGGGGCTGCGCTAACAAGCTTTTTGCGTTTAATTTTCACTTTAAGAGGGTGCAAAAGGTCGAAAACTCTAGTTTGTAGTGTTAACACGTGCCTTTATTTCCAGAATTTTCTCAAATTTAAAAACAATGCGTTTTAACGCTCATTTTTCGAATTTTTCACCGTTTTTAAGCTCTGAAAGTGAAAATTAAACGCAAAAAAAGGCGTTTTATTTTGAGCGTGAATGGGTCACAATCGCCGTCCCCGATTGCAGCGTTTAAAAGTGTTTTTTCAAATTCTTGTCTGCTTAGGTGACACTCAACTTCTGTTACTCAGTCTTTTTGCCAGCCACTACTGCAGCCTCTTACCTTTTGAAACGTTTTTGACCAGTTTTCATTGCTGCACTTATCTGTACAAAATATATAAATCGAAACCAACTGTGATAAATCATGAACTTTTGGAACTAATTCTCTTCCTAGTCTGCCAGATGTAATAAGAATAATCTTGTCACCAGAGTTGGCACGACGCCGTTTCAGCCATAGTTCACAAGAGACACTGTCATCAAATGTCCTTATAAAGTTTACAGTTTCTCTAAGTTTCATTTGAATTCGTAAATTATCTTTGGATTTATTAACATTGGCGTCACACCATGCCAATGCGAAGGTTTCAAAATTTTTATCCTCTTCTTCATACGTTGTTTGTGGGATGCGAAGATGCACAGCTGCAGCTACGGCGTCAACTGTAGCACTATTACCACGAATAGGGGATTCTTGTGCTAATGTAATAGATTTTTCCATTGTCGAGGAGATCGTCTTTGTATCATCCGTTCCTTTTTCAACTATTATACTTTCAATTATAAAATAATTATATCAAGGACACTTTCTGTATTTTAATAAAAGGAAAGACGATTGCTGTTCCTGTCTTTTTTCGTTAGTGTCGAATGAAGTGTACGCTGAAAAATAAATATGCGTTTTGAGAAACCTTTGAGGTTTTTCAGTTCTTTACCATATACTGCAAGGGATCAGAGACGCACACGAAATTTTCTGAAAGTTTTGTAAACTTATAGGTTCCGTGTAATTAATCCTTCAGGTTTTCGTTGCCCAAAAGGTTTCATAGAGAAACTTTCGAAGGTACCGTACTCGGAAAGTATCGTATTCGAAAGGTTTCGTACGAAACTTTTTCCTCGATGGTGCCGGAAGATGTCCACCAATCTGAAAGCCGATCGATCTGAATTTATCAATCGATTTATCTGTTTATCAATAAATTTGCAATCGAGTTTAGATACTATTTTATTAGGTATATTTTAGCTCATACCTTTCCATCCTGTGCCTTTTCTTGGAAGACTAAAGTGGTAATGTTAAAGCCGATATAACTTTTTGTATTTTACCGAGTAGGTATTTGCGAAATTCGAGTCCAATTCGAACTTAAACTTTCAAAGTCGAGTTCGAGTTCCATATGTCGATTTCGAACCGAGTTCGATCGAGCAGAGGGATAGATGAATAAAGGATAGTAGCTAAGTATCTGATAGATAACTATCAACTATCAATTAACTGACGCTTACAATATCTGTTTTGATAAAACGAATTCCTCGGGGGATACGGAGAATTCCCTCTATTTCGGATCCCAGGGTATACAATGAGAAGTTAGCGAGTACGATATATCCTATAGGAATATCCATAAGTCCTCATGGCCTATCCTATCAGGTACTCATAAGTCGTCAATGGCTATCCTATAGAAGCATCCATAAGTCCCGATGGCTTATGCTATGGGGGT